GATTAAAATCTGTAATCTTTCCACTTGTATGTCATCGGAAAATACAAGACGTTTCTGCTTTGTGCTAAGACACTAACGAGTGCTAACGAGTACAACACCCCTCTCTGCGGGAGTGCTGGCTGTGACGAATTAAACCGGTTTCACAGGTATTTTCAAAGTAGAAAGTACAGTACTTACTAGTTAAGAAAGCTAGGCTCCTCAATGTTGTGCAATGTCCACCACGTTTTAACGCTGCGTACCTTGCTCATTTTGAATGGCTGATCTGTATTTAATCACGAAGACTTACAAATACCAAGAGATACATTCATTGAGTATACCATTCATTTATACCATTTCTTTAGTGTGGTTTTTGATTACAACTTCTACACTAGATACTCAACAGCAAGAACATCACTCATATTAATTAAATTGACATCAACTGGGATTGAGGTAACAAGTGAATTCTCAAGCTGCAATGTAGAAGTTGAACACTCATGCAATTTATGTACATTCAGATCTCCCACGGCCACAAAGGAACAGCAACCGGCTGTTGTTGCGTCCAATCGGCATCCTATCTGGAGGAACTACGGTCGTTCATTGGTTGTAAGTTCTGCGGGCATTCAACGTGAGGTTACCCTGCTCTACCAGTTCCTGATTGGTTGATCAAAGTGGAGGATGGGTTACAATGCTCTCTGACCTTAGGGTTGTAAACAACTTGGGATGAGACTCTTCCTTGGAATCTCCCAGACAGAAAAGCGCCAGAGATGACCTCTCATTAAGGTGGCAGGAAAATCTTAGCCCTGGGAGCTGTCAGAAAACTCTATCAGACAAAAAAACATCTTAAATCTGAACCAAATGGAATTGCCTCTCTGTGTCCAGCACCACAGAGTTGAAGGAGAGAGACTGGCAGGGGGGACAGCAAACTTAATTCCTGTATTATTAATAAGTATTGCCGCTAAATACCCCCCTTTGTGAAGGTCATGAGGTCCTGATACGTTGTTGTCTTCAGACCAAAACATAGGGTTAAGTGATGTTCATTGTATTATGGAACTTGCAGGAAAACTGTTTGATTTTGCAGCTGAATTTTGGTAGCTGTATCATGCCTGTTATAAGTCAGTGACAGTTAAAATGTGGTGTGCTGACCAGCCATTTACATCCCACCTGCTCTCTATGGGTTTCATTAACCTCCCTCTTCTCATTATAGTAGCTTTACACCCTTCAGTGGTGGATCATTTAGACACAGCCAATGGATAGCTTTTGTAGACATACCCATCTCAAGATATGGAATCGAATACCAACTTTGATCATCTTCTGGATGTCCTACGAGCTGTGGGGTGGTTAACGTCACATGCTCCTCTACTGAGAAGAGTGGGATCAAGCAGGCTGGGATATGTCCCACGGCTAGACTGGCTACAGTGGCACTAAGCTCCCTAAACAGGTCTTGCATCTACATTCTGACCTTTTGCACACAAACGTAAAATTTGAGATTTGCATTCTCTTTGCAACCCTCATAATTTTGTCCTGTGTGTCTATAATACAGTATGTGCGTCTAAGTCTCTCGTAATAGTTGCAAGGGGACTCGGCTCTCTCGTGCTTAACGTGATGGATGGTGGCCGCGGCAGCAGTCGGGTCAATAAACTCACCATAGTCTTGGATCAGGGCTTGGCACTGCTCCTCTTTTGTCTGCCTAACCACCTTCTGGCGTTCTGGTGTACTATGGCTGCCGTCGCATCATCCAGGTGAATGCTGCATATTGGTGGTGGTGGAAGGGAGTCCCCATTACCTGTAAAGCGCTTTGAGTGGAGTGTCCAGAAATGCGCTATATAAGTGTAAGCAATTATTATTATTATTATAACCATTCACTCATGTACTGCTCTGCTGGTAGTTTTTCTCACCAGCAACACTTTCTCCTGTTCATTAGTGTCTGGCATAAACTGCAGTGTGTACCTGAGCTCATCGATGTAACTCTCGACATTATTCCCTGACACTGTGTGCTCGAATCTCTCTATTTCCGTCGCTAGCGGTCTATTTCCGTCGCTAGCGAGTGGAGATTTATTTTCTTAGCTTCTCCACCGATGGAGAGATGGCAGAGATCATGGTCGGGGGGCCTACGCATTAATTGACTCGCCCTAGTGTCTCACTTGGGGCTCGGCGTTCTACCCCACAATGACCCAGTTCCAGATCCTGGCCAGGAGAACTCTCTCAGGTAGAGCCCTTAGCTTGAGCGAGCACTTCGTACTACTTCACGGTAAGGAACGCCTGTGCTGTAATTGCTGTGCTCCACGCAGGGGAGCATCCAGGTCCTGTCCAAGCAAGTCTTTATCCTCACCGACACGCAATAAGTCCTCATGTACTTTATGGTTATGTTCGTATAAACTGTCCAATTACCTTTCTTTTCCAAGCAGGCTAGGCCTTCTCAGCGACAGCTTTCTCAACAGACAAGTCCTCTATTTTCGCTGAAACCTCTTGTGAGTTGGCTTTCACATTGATTATGTCTAACAACTCAACTCGCTCAGACCTATATCTCTCAAGTTTACCCTGAAGCTTTTGGAACTTCGATAACTTGAAGAAAGTCCATTCAAGCTGTTTAGCGAGGTTTAAAGTGAAATTAGATACAATCTACATTGCATTCACATAACCTCCTACAATAAGCTGGTTCGTCAAAATTCAATTTCTCAATACTGTGTAAGTAGTCAGGATTGTCGTTGCTAGAAAGAGAGCTTATGAGAAACTCTAATTCAGATGTTTTAACAGCCATCATTTTTACTTTTAAGAGTATTACTTTTAAGTATGAAACCACAGTTCTACCACAGAGCACCACAATATCAAATACGCAACCAACACAATAGATCTCAAGAGGTCACAAAAATCAAGCACTGCACTATGGCTTACAGAGCAAAGGGGAACTTTTTTTTCTCTCGGCTTTCAGCACACTCTGTATTGTCGTGCACAGAAGCTGCAGCGTTTTTTTTTTACTGAATTATTCCACTTGATTGACTCAGTCCGCACACAGGGCCAACACAAATAAAGGAAGGGGTAATGTAAATGTAAATGTAGGTCAACATTCAACTGCTGAACACTACTTTGTGTGCATTTTTTCTCATGTTCAGTGTTTTGTACTTGCACGTACAAAGTCAGAGGTCTCTCTCCAGTGCCTTCTGGAAGTGTTACTCTACTAGAGTGTAATTATTCATCTCATCTCCCTTCTGACTTTTTATCTTTCACAGAAACCTTGATCTCCTGCTTTTATTTCTGCTTTACAGGTGTTGTACATACTGTAACATGGACCCTATTTCTTTTTTCTAAAAGCCAACATGTTAATATGATATATTGTATAATATATATATATATTGAAAGCAATACCAGTGTTATTGTGTGATTTAATAGTACATGATTTTGTATTTGGAGATTTTTCTCTGCAAATTGAAATGAAACTTTATGTTCTTAGTTTTTTTTCTTTTTTAAAGGGAATATCATTATGTTAATTTGCTAATAGGTGGTTGAAATCATAAATATATTCAAATGATAACATTAATTGTTCAGCACTATTCCTGTTTCAGCATTATATTGATTAAATTGAATGAGCAACTGAGTAATAGCTATAGTTTATAACTCCCACTTTAAACCACTTTTCTGCATTATAGAAGAATAAACTCTACTGCTTTTATAGATTAATATAATTAACAGCCTACGATTTTTAGAGATATCTCTATGAATCTCTACGAAATGTACAATATAACCTTGAATATCTAAACAGACCCAATCAATGACACACATAATGCCATCAATGAAGAAATTTACTTTAGTGTTTTGGGTGTTTCTTAAATTATGTGTGTATACAATCCCTTTGTAATGGTCTTCCAGACATTTTATTTAGAATTTAATTCACCAAATGAAAGACTGTTTGTTATATTGCAATGTCTATTGTTAAGACAAGCATATTTGACTTTAGAGATAATTCTGTGAATTAAATTGTTGGAAATAATAGTTAAATCATGTTTATTTAAATACTGGGGGCAGTAGATTGAAATATGTATAGTCTGTACCGTAATTACTGTATATGCATATAAGTTGTTTAACATAGATGCATTTAATAAAAAGCAGAAGATTATAACTTTAATTTTGTGAAGCTATTTAACACCCTTAACGTAAACCACGCTGCACAAATTCTATAACTCCCAAATCTAACTGTTCAGTAATTCAGCAATAGCATGTGATTGTGATCAGAATGTAGCAAAATAGCTATGTGACCTCTTTATATAGTTAGGTGATTACTGTTTGATTACTTTTGAGTTTCTTTTGAAAGGTTAAATAAAATTCTGATGAGATGAGCTTCCTGATTAGCTCTAGTCTTTCTGGCTTAAAATTGTGAGCGAGTCTTTCACTGGAGAAAATAAAAATAAATGGATAAATGCTCCTTAGGAAATTAGTTAGTTGCATGCATCTTTTTCAATTGATATCAATTATTCCTAGTATGGTATTTAAATTAGTCAAATTACTTAATACAGTCAGGTACAGTTGATAAATAGGTAGGTAGGTTACAAGCAGAATCGTAGCTATTGGTGAAATATTCACAGACAACAGGGGAGACAGGTATGAAAGGAGACTGTGTAGTACCCTCAAACAAAATGAGATATTAGCAGCAAATAATTAGTGTGTGATACTGGGTATTTTTCTTTTTATGCTGATGGCGACAAAAGAGTCAGATAAGAGATATGCTTGTGGGGAGGGGCACTGACAAAAGCGTGGATGAGCTAGAACATGCTTATGACATGACTCAGACCTGACCTTGAAATGTTTGGGCTGTGTGCCAGAGGGTCTTGATAGACAAACAGATGCAATTAAAACTGTACGGGTTTTGAAAATGTTTTTATATCTATAATGGTCATGGTGATCCAAAAAACTGACAAATACCACCAGTTCTCATCAGATGTTAAATGTCTCTGCTATTCTGCTTAAATATGTTTTCTCCATGAAACAATCAATCAAAAAGCTTCTATAATAAGTACTAATATTTGCTTACACAGTCGTTAAGTACATTATACACAGAAACTGTTAAAGTTTATAAAGCGGTAAGTTCAGCAGTGTCATATTTTTTGGTATTTGATCTAGCTTGATAAACAAGCAATCTAGTATTGTGCACAGTGCCATATAATTAAATGAGTCATGTTTACCTCTCTGTGGAGCACAGGCAGAGCAACAGTACAGACTGCTGCCTAACACATTCCCAAGTTGATTGTGTTGATACAACATTTTCTTTATAAAAGGAACTAGTTTCTCACCAATCGTACTTGTATGCTTTGATGCACAGTCATTTACAATACTTAAACATGTTTTAATATTTTCTTTCTTTCATGCGAACCAAATAGGAAGTTACAAGAACACGGTGAGCATTAAATACAACATTATAGAGAACATCACAGAAAGCTCTATAGAATTATACTGTAGTGAGTATTAGTACCTTTGTTATTTCTTAGTGTTATATTTCTATTTATTCAGAAATGAATTGCATTTCTTTATTAAAAATAAACTTTACAGTTGAGGAACTTTTAAAGCTCAATTGTTTCTGTATGTGTACCCATAAAAAAAAATGCTTATGTTAAAGCACAAGATGTATATATTTTTCAACAAAACCCAAATGAAGACACAAGTGATGTTTGTTTCTTTTACCACAGTACTTCAGTTTCATCATCTTTTTATATGTGCTACTGGCATTTTTGGTGAGTAATGGATTTTTGTTTTTTAATTTATAAAATACTTTATGACCTGTAATTACATTTTGAAAAAGGTTATACCGAAATAATATTATATTAGTGTAGCGGCGAGGCTTAATAATAAGGCAGAATTAAGTGTTTCCCCTACATTAGTGTTTAAATTAATTGAAAGAATATACAATATCATTTAGAAAACATGCTGTATCTCTTAGTTGTTATGTACTAATGAAAGTTACAGTAGATTTTCTATTTACTGTGCCCATAGAGAAGTCTAAAATTTTGCAGGTTATTTTTGTTAAGGCTATTAGAAGTGGCAACAACAACAATAATAAAGCACATAATACAGTTTTGTTATATATTGATTAAAATGCACACAATACAATACTGATTATAATGTCAATGAAGTAATTAATATGCAAGAAAAGGTAATTGTTCTGTTATGCAGTTACAGTATGTAACAATTTGTTAGAATGTATTTTTACTTCTGTTATATACAGTATCTATGGTGAACATTTTTTCAAATTATTTGAATTTCGTGTTTAGGACATTATAATTTGACTTGTTATAGGAAATGATTTTTTATATTCAAAGTTCAATAAATGGCAAAACCTTTTAACATGATCTATAAAACATATTTGATTTTTATTGTAATACAACAATTACTGACACTGTCATTGTTATGCGTGTGAATAACATCTGCAAAATGCACAATATTGCAATTAATAAAATTTAAAATAAATACATTTAGAATTTAGTACACTGCAAAGCAGTGAAATCTAACTAAATCTTACATACAGTACACTTGGATCCTAATATTATACAGAACTACTGTAAAACTCCAAAGATACTATAGCTTCTCAGCCCATTAGAGCTTAATAAATAACTTAATCTTTATTATGTAGTGGATAATCAACATTTTGATTTAGATTAGTGTTTGTGTAGATTATTCTTAAATGACTGGAAAGGACTTGATCCTTTGATTAACTACTAACTACCAAAAGCACTGGATAGGCGAAATGCTGTCCTCAAATTTGTAACTATACAGTATGTCCTTACAACTTAATAGTTAGAAATCTCTTTCCTTACATAATAAATTAAACACATTTTGGGGTTTGAACTGTAATGTTGTGGTTGAAACTCCTTCTCACCTGAAAAAAGGTTGGACAGTCATGCTATAGGCACATTTTCTTTGATTTATTTTAACAATTAATATGGTTATGTCTTTTGTTATTACAGACAAAGAAGGACAGAGAGAAGAAAGAAGTGTACCATGAGCACCTTAAATTCAGTGATGTCTGCAAATGCCACGTTTGTTCGGCCTCAGTTTTTTTATATTAATGGGTTTTCTGGCATTCCCCACGCACAGTACTACTATGTTTTCTTGTGTTTTGTTTATGCTGTAACAGTACTAGCAAATGCCTTCATTTTGTTCATCATATACATAGAGCAAAGTCTTCACACACCAAAGTATATGGCTGTTTTTAATTTGGCTGTAGTTGATATGTGTGGCAGCACAGCACTTATTCCTAAGATGATAGAAACCTTTGTCTTTGATTCTCAGTTCATCACATATGAAGCTTGTATAGCCAATATGTTTTTTGTACATTTCTTTTTTTTCCTAGAGTCACTTACTCTAGTTGTATTGGCCTATGACAGATTTGTTGCTATTTGCTTTCCCCTGAAATATCACATTGTCATCACTAATTCCCAAATGGCTGTGATTCTTGCTGTTGTATGGTTTCTCACATCAGGTCTAGTGATTACATGTGTGGGTTTCATTACCACACTCTCATTCTGTAAAACCATTGTGATTGACAGCTATTTTTGTGATCATGGACCTATGTATCGCATGGCCTGTAATAATAACTTCCCAAGTTACATAATGGCAAAAATTGCTATCACAGTTTTGCTTTTTGCACCACTTGTTCTAATTCTGTTATCTTATGTTTGCATTATTTTTGCATTGCTGAAAATTGCATCAGGTGAGCAACGCCTTAAAGCCATGAAAACCTGCACCTCTCACCTACTCTTAGTAACTGTTTTCTATCTTCCAATATCAGCCACATATATTGCTGCAATCATGTCCACTCTTCACCCAAATACCAGAATAATAAGTACATCCCTGTCTTCCACCATTCCACCAATGCTGAATCCCATCATTTACACGATCAAAACAGAGGAGATTATGACAGCAATTAAAAAACGTTATAAAAGAAACAAGACCATCACTGCTACCAATTATAAATGATTTTATTGAACTAACAGAAGAATAATAAGTAATGTTTCAATATGTTGTATACTGTATCTTGTCCAATTTAGTAATGACAACACAGGTT